CGCAAATCGTATGCAGTGTGAATCCAGCATATTAGTGCGGTTCAATGAAACATATCATTAGATTCCATTTTATTCAGTCCTAAAAATATATAATATATAACTATTTTCAAACTTAAATTATTTATTTTACACAATATTCTGATTCATTTATTAATTTAAAACATTTTTTTAAATTAAATTTTTACATTTAAAGAATTTTAAACGTCAAAATGTCATTGCATAGCTATTATTAGAAACATTGAAACTAAACAATGTCATTGTTATGACATTAATTACAATAATGTAATATCATATCATAACATAATATCATACTTTAGTACGAACACAATCTCAATTTCAACTTGCATTGGTCTCCACTGACTTCAAAGACAGTGGAGCAAAAGTTGAACTCAGCGCAAGTTTTTTGCACCAGTTTTATCAATGGAACATTAAACGGGAGGGCTCCGATTGCACACATCGCATATTGCACACATGTATCGCTGATTGGCCAATTTAAAAATAAAATAATCTCATTGGCAAAACAGTAAAAAATTACTAGGCACCAGTTGATATGAGTGGTGTGTACAATCAGAACTGTAGGCAAACGGGATCCTCCCACATTAAACACTGAAATAGTTTTCACAGTGGAACAACACAATTGCACTCAGTGCGCACCAGTGTTGCACCAGTTTTCCCAGTGGAAAACGCTATAAGTAATGTATCAAATATAATCGGCAATAATGAAAGAGATGTTTGTGGGAGCAGAGATGCCAATTCTGTTACGGTTTACGACATCGCGACTAGCGTCATCGGTCGGCGGTCTGGTGCAACCGGTAGCACACACACAAGCACAAGCTCGTGTACGTGCAACTCTTTCGCAGCTTCTGCTACCAGAGTCATACGTACGCGAGCTTGTGCTTGTGTGTGTGCTGTCGGTTGCGCCAGGCCGCCGACCGATGGCGCTAGTCGCGATGTCGTAAATCGTAACAGAATAGACCTTTTCATAAGATACGTTCCGTATCGCGCATGATGCGCATGATGCATCCATTGTCCTTGTTTAACATTTGGTGAGCAATAAGTATAAACGATGCCTTAAGCCGTAATCACACTAGCGATTGGCGATTGTAATTGACGATTGAGGATTACTTTTCAACCAATCGGAGCAAAGAAATCGGTGACTTTCAAGCTCTGATTGGTTGAAAAGTAATCCTCAATCGTCAATCACAATCGCCAATCGCTAGTGTGATTACGGCTTTATGCGCATCATGCGAGAAACGGAACGCACCCATAGTTCGAAATGCACAAACGCGAACATGGGTGGGGGGATCGACCAAGTGCGGGAAAGTCAAAAGTTTCGTACAGTTTTGTACGCTTTACATGGGTGGCACCCAGTTGAACACGGCTCAATTGGACACGAACCACTCACAGCGCTTGAGACTACAAAGCTCCTAAGCATCGGTCGCTGTGATTGGTGGTGTCCAATCGAGACGTGGTCAATCGGGATCACCCCGCTTTACATTATGGCTTCATCATTTCCATTCGTAAAAGCAAACATTTCCCCTCTTGATGTTCTTGGTCCTGTGTTAATTTATAATTCAGTTGAAGAACACAGCGTAGAGCAATTAAAAAGATGGTTGAAATGTAGGAAGCAAAAAACAAACAGAAAAAAATGGGAATTAGTTGAGAGGTTATTTAATCTTTTATATTTACAATACGTCCTATGAAACAATATGATTATATATTATTTTAATAAAAATTTTCCTACGATTTAGAGTAAACATATGCCTTCAGAATGACATACCAGTTGATCCAACAATTGATGAAGGTAAATGGTTAATTGCTGCAGAAAACGTAGCCAGGAGTAATGTACTTCAATATATTCAAAAAGAGAACATTCTTCATTTTCCAGTTGTTTGGAGTTCGTTTCTATCAAAATCTATTCCAAAAAATTTTAATTATGGACTGATTTACAAATATCTTATTTAACCAGAAAACGTAGCCAGGAGCAGGCCTATGGCACTCAAGAGGTTTTCTATAGTTTAATGTGACCCCGCTATTGTCCGAAATCCGCTGGGGGCGCTGATAGTAACTTGGTCCACTTCTATTAGTGAAGTGAGGTTATTTTTGTCCGTTTTCCCATTCTTGTCGTACGTGATCGTGATTAAATGTGATCAAATGTTATCGAACATTAAATCGCATTAATGTGTACATGTGTGGAATTATGCCGCATTGCATAGCACCGGGTTGTACTTCTGGATATAAATCTAATCCGGAAAAAGTTCATTTTTTTACTGTGCCTAAAGATGAAAATATGATAACTTTATGGCAAAATGCTATACGAAGAAAAGACTTTGTGATCCGAGCAGGACAGTTTCTTTGTGAAAAACATTTCTTGCCTGAAGATATATTGTGGAAACGAGAACTTACAAGTCCTGATGGACAAGTACTCGGCGTTGTAAGTAATAAAATAAATATTTTGTTATTTATTTACTTGAACAATGCAGCTAATGCAGCTTATATAATCTTTGTTTTTTAGTCGCATTATAGACAACCAAGGTTGCGAAAAGGGGTCATACCTTCGCAGTTTCCATGGATGGAAATTTCTACATCTGTATCATTGGATAACTCGTTGCTGCAAGACACACCTTTTCAAGAAACAGTTTATAAATTTGATGCACTACATTGTACACGAAATAATTTACAAGAAGCAAGATCGGATGAGCCATCAAAATTTTCTTTTATCAATTTGATTACTTGTGCTACATTGCAAATACCAATAAACTGGATCAGGCGTACTGTAACCTGCGAGGCAATTACAATGGAGTCATTTACAAATGTAATGTGTCGAAAAATTGGAAACAGTTTTGTTACTGTTAATATTAAAGAACTTATTGTGCAAGAAAACTTGTGCCTCAAAATCAATGTGATGTGCAAACCCTTTGATGTTACCAGTTTGGTATTTCCAGTGATGCAATTAGTAGCATTGAAGACATAGAGGCTGCATTAATTGCTTTGAATTTAAAAAATATTTGTTGTGGAGCATCTACAAATAATGTATGTACACATAATTCAAGTATCAGTTATATAGATCATTTTAACATTCTACGACATAAACAATGTATTGTACTTCTTGATAACGAAAACCAATGCACACATTGCAAAAGGCTCTGTCAAACATTAAAAAGAAAAAAACTTCGTTTGGAAAAACAACAAAATAAAAGAATTCGATTGACATTAGTCAATTGAAGCCTTAGTCAATCGATTCCTTTGTTTTTAAGCCACTTTGTGGCTTAAAAAAAAAGGAATCCAAATTTTATTGTACGTAAAATTTTGAATTTTTTTCTTAAAAAATATTGTTTCTCATATGTACAATATATAATATATAAGTCTTTTATGGTTTTTTATATACATCTTAGTTTATTTTATAATAACTAAAATACATGTATGTATACATTTATGTCATTTTGTCACTTATTTATTGACCTGTCCATTATAAATAAAAAAAAATCTTTAGTTAAATAAATAAAGAACGATACAAATATTTTATTTTTTTGTAAAAGGCGTTTTTTTATTCTCTTGCAAACTGTATCGCGTCACGGCAAGGGACTATACCAGTACCAGACTGTACTATAGTAAGCGGACTAAGATACTATCAGCGCCCTCAGCGGATTCGGACAATAACGGGGTCACATTAAACTATCGAGTGCCATAGGCCTGGCCAGGAGTAATGTACTTCAATATATCCAAAAGGAGAACATTCCTCATTTTCCAGTTGTTTGGAGTTCGTTTCCATCAAAATCTATTCCAAAAAATGTTAATTATGGACTGATTTATAAATATCTTATTTCATCATGTCAACTTGAGAATATTGATGCGTCAAATGATTTTGAGAATTGTGAAAATGAAAATGATTGCTACATCAAAACCGTTAAGAAAAGGAAGAATTTTTTTTAAAAGTGGACACGTCACCGAAATGAAAGATGCAGCGACAGATGACAGAAATAAACATTATTGCATTCAAGCTAATGTATGGGCATCTTTCAAGAAAATCAAATACAAAGTTTCAGTAATGCTTCATCATTCTAGCGGAGAAGTATTACATGCATGTTGCGAATGTAAAGCTTCCAGCATGGGTCGATGTAGTCATGTTGCTGGTGTGTTATTTGCAATAGAAGATTTTCTTCTTACATTTGATGAAGCAACATCAGTCACATGCACTAGCAAATTATGTGCATGGAACAAAGGACGTAAGAAGAAAGAACCACATGAAGTAGGTGAAGAACAATGTACAAATAGACATAATCAAAGTAAAAAATTAAAATATAATCCATTTCCAATGAATAACCAGCAGAATACGATGAAGGTTAACAAATTTTGAAAAGATTTGCAAATGGATACTTTTCACAAGAAGACAATGTGGGAATTATTATTGTTAAAAAAGTATTCTGATTATTGTTTAACCAAAGAAAGAAAAAGTATTTTGCGTGAAGAAGTTTATCTTCTTACACAGTTGTTAAGTTTTGGTGCAGAAGGTGCTGTGAATGTGACAGGTGCGGAGCAAGATACCTGTCAGTGGCATCATTTGAGACAATTATTAATAATAGCATCGGTTATTAAGTCTTTTGTATCCGTAAAAACAAAGCAACAATTAGTATACGATGCAGTAAAAAATCATTTATGGGAAAAACGCGTAATTGATAATGTGTATACACAATATGAAAAGGTGAATGAATATAATGCATTCAACGAATATAAGTTACATACATCGCATTTGGGATTCACAGTTGAAAAAACAGGATTGTGGATTAATACAAAATATCCAGGTTTAGGAGCATCGCCAGATGGGTTGGTGTTTGATCCAATAATAGAATCATACGGTGTCATTGAAATCAAATGTCCATTCATTTTAAAAAATCTTAAACCAACTGATCTTCATCTGTTGTCAAATACACAACGATATTCATTTTGTTGCAAATTATGCGATAACACTAACAATGAATTACAATTGAAAATATCACATGCATATTACTATCAAATCCAAACACAAATGCTAATAACCGAACATTTGTGGTACGACTTTGTGGTGTGGTCACCTCATGGAATGCATATTCAACGGATTCCTTTTAATCCAAATTTTATAATTGAAATAGCGCAAAAAGCAAGTGATTTTCATCAAAATATTCTTGCTCCTGAATATTTTGAAATGCAAGTGCCCAGACAGCTGATCCCATTTGATTTATCTGATGACTGTGAGAACTAAATATATGTTTATGTCTGTTATTGTTTTAGGAAATACTTTTAGTAGATTTACAAAAAAGAAACAGTAAAAAACGTTAAGCGTATGAAGTATTTGTTTTATTCAGTATACCGTTACATTATTACATATCGTTGACACTGCCTGTTATATGTAGAATTAAAAGATTTATATGCAATGATTGTAAGTCATAATTACAGTTTTATAATAAATAAAAATTGTTATTCATCCAATACAATCGGTTCTTGGAAATTCACAAGGCATGCTGCCACAAAAACTAATTGACTGATCATCCCTCTCATACTTAATGGCAATGTTTTTTGGAGTAAACGCATTTGCTTTAATCTACCAATTGCATGTTCAACATATATGCATTGCTTTGAAATTCTTTTTGTTAATATTTCTTCTTGAGCCGTCAGTCGTTGTCTACCGTGCAAAAAAGGAGGAATATTTAAAACAGCTCCCTTATTTTGAACTATATCATGTATATTAAAACCTCGATCAGCTAATATAAGATCTCCAGGTTCAAACAAATCTACTAACTTTGATCTAATAAAAATCTCTCGATCAGAAATAGATCCTTCATAAACTTCAGACACCAAGGATATTGCACCATTTGGGGTACAGCCTATTAATACTTTGAACGTCGTATGAGCTTTATATTGAGAATATAAATTGCCTTGATGTTCAAAATTATTAGGCGACTGACAAAAAATTCAGCACAATCCACAATAATCCTTATGCCTTTCAAATTTTTAAATATTTTTGGCAGTATTTATGAAATATGCTGTTGAGAAGGAAACATTGAAGGACGTAGATAAATATTAAAATAATCGTATATAAAAACAAAATCCATGTTACAAAAATGTTCGAAATCAACCCGCATGAAATATTCAGCCTATAAGCTAAATCCTGCACAAGTAAACCTGTTCGTAACCTCATTAAAGTTATAATTAACTTCTGAAATGGTGTTAGTTTACGTTGAACCTTTTTCTTTTTTTGTAGGTTGCTACATTTACTGCCCCAATATTGTAATTTATAACATTCAGGACTTACAAATTCTAACAATATTTTTATCTGATTAAACGTCAGACCTGTATAAAATACGCACTTTTTCTGATCACATTGTATAGATTTGACAAATACATGTAATGATGTGATAGAAGTACCAACATTTTTTTTTAAAGTTGCAAACGCTTTTTTTAGTACTTTCACTTTACATATTTTAGCCAACTTAAGTGTTTGTGTTCTTTTCACGTGCATTGTTTTTTTCATTGTTGCTGTCTGTGTTTCGGCATCTGTTGTAATGTTAGTTGTTTGTGTATCTTGTTCTTGGCTTATCGCTGCTACAATTCCAATGTCACCAGTGCCAATGTTTTCAATTGACACATCCATTGGCAGGGTGGCACCCAGTTGGACACGAGCCACTCACAGCGCATGAGACTACAAGCTCCTAAGCACCGGTCGCTGTGATTGGTGGTATCCAATCGAGCCGTGGTCAATCGGGATCACCCCATGTGAAGATGCTATCACCAAGTGTGGTATCATTTTTAATGTCAGGTGATTTGCTAGCTTTTGCATACTTCTCCGATAAAGTGCTACGACGCTTCACTGGTTCCTAAAAGAAAGTTCATTTAATTTATAAATAGTATAAGAAAATAAAATTTAATCATAATTTATATAAATGAATGATTGTACAATTTCTATTATTTACTTCCTCACCTTTCTTTCATTTTCTAGTAAAGGAATAGGATCCGGGTACTCGTCAGATGGTCCACTTTCCCCATGGAAATGCAACGAACATATATATGTGTCTTTTTTAACATATTTAATGCTGTTAAACGGAGCAGGGCGACCACATGCTCTCACCCATATACTGCATTTATTGCATTTATCACAATTTTTCGTGTGATTTTTTAATTGCTTCGTTTCGACATCACGGTTTCTAAATGACAGGCACGGCTTGGGAAACGAGATAAAATAATAATGATCAGTTTTTAAACTTTTCAAGCGTGTGTCACTTTTGCACAAACCGTAACAGCAACGTTTTGTTGTTCCTTTTCTATCGTTTGTGCTTGCCATATATATATATATACAGGGTGCGGCACCAAAATCCGGACAAATCGAACAATTTCTTTAAACAAAATGTTTTTGATGAAAAATTAAATATTTAAAAAAATCCTTTTACATGGCACTTGGGGGATCCCTATAGAGCATAATTATTCGATATATCCCCCATTA